CTGTTTTGAAGGATCAGATATCTTGTTTACTAAGCTGTGGATATTTGAACCTGAACATGATATCAGGCTGACATCTTTATATCTAGCCTTGATTCTAGGCTGAAGCAATATACCCCATCTCAATTAAATATGTGATGGCTTGAGTCTAGAACTTCTAAAACGAGCCATCTATACTTAGGCCTACATTTGCATACATGTACACGTACCTCTTCTCGATCTTGCTCTTTTTGGGTCATGAAACTTTCCTGAATAAATATTAATTTTTTCCCTGAGAACAACAATTTTCACAGCAAGACATTGCCCTTAATGCTTAAAAAAGACTTAATAGCCTAAAATTAGTGCTACATGTATGTCAATTGTGAAATAATTATTTCATGCCATGATGAAACTTCTGCGAATCTAGCCACTAGGGAAATTTGTTAACATTTCATGCACAAAAGTGTCTGCTTCGAAGTAAGTTAAAGTGGCCTCATGCTCTCATCTAGAGGGCTAGTCTATATGCTTCCAGACTCAAATCAAGTTATTACAAATGTAGGTGAGAGGAGAAAAAAACCCATTCAGCCTTGAATCCAAGCTACCTCCCTAGCCACTATGCTATGGAAGGAAACCACTTTGGCTTGTTGATTCTCTCGGAAACTATGCCAGGGGGTCAGGAGGTCACGTTCATGTGCCTTTCAGGTATGCAAAGAGATCTTGTTCTATGGGTCTATTTAGAGTGTGGTGATGAGAGATAGAAAGACTGCATGAGAAGATGATACCAAGAAGATACCAGATACATACACATCGCAGGATCTACAACTGTGACATTCCAGGTACATGTACTGTACTGTACATGTATAGAGGGGCCTCCATTCCTAAATGGCAATCCAAACTTGCTTCAAAGTTCATTATTTAAAAACAATAAGATTAATAAAACAAACATAGAACAAATTAGAGAAACAGATTTGCAAAAGTTAAAAAACTATCAGTAAAATAAAAAAAAGTTATGAATGTTTGGAATATGAGATCACTAAGGCTATGCGAATATCAAATTGGCAGTTTGGTCAGTGGATTGTGACACGTACATGTATAGGCAGGGATAACTCTCCTGCTTGTTGGGTACACAAATATAATGATTTTTTTCCTTCTCCAAAGTGCCTTCGTCCTCGTAAAACTATTCAAACTCTATCATGGATAGCATATTATTATAGGTCCTCTCTAAAGAAAATATACCACCCTGAGTAGTACCATTAGGAAAACATTGAAATGTTAGTCATTTTGTGTGTTATTTAGAACAAATCTAGGAAATTTGTCCACCACTAAATCACAAAGACATTACCAATCCAGCAATTTTAACAGCCCATACCTGTAGTGATTGCAACTTTTAAACTTTCTTTCAAACTTTCACCCGTCTACTTCTCAACATTTTCTGCTTTCTTCGAGAGTAGATTGCTATCAAAGTTTGATTTTCCTTCAAGACAAAAACCTGGGCATCGTAGAAATTCTATTGTTAACATACAATAGCAATGTTAAAACCAATAGAACACAAAGAAAAATATTACTGGCAAAATTATGAGTCTGTGGTGTTCCTCATCCAGTTTCACTCTACAAACATGTTCTTGAAATGAATCCATTATTCTATGAAGTATGAGTCTGAACCACTCCCAAACTTCACAAGATTCTTCAAAAATATGCATGCAACAGTTTTGAAGATACAGTATGAAGATCTCTATTTTGTTCTTGGGTATACAACTTTACAAGTCTTTTCTTTTGTTTCACGTCCCTGTCTCTTTTGATGCAGGTGATAAATCCTCAAGACATTTTTTCCTGTCCCTGATGTGTAGTATGAAAGGACATTATCCTTCCAATCTTTCAGCATAATCACTGCTGTAAAGAGGGAGTTCTGTTTATTTTAGTTGTCAAACTAAACCTTTCATCACAGAATCCTGAAAGAAAAAGGTCCCTTGTGCTCCATATAAGACCTGTCCTCATCAGACCGAAGTTGCAAGGAAAAAATATAGGGGCGATCTAGCCCCCAAATTGCCCCAAAGAGCCCCCAAAAGTCATAAAAGAGCCCCAAAAATTTGCATAGAGTTCAATGCAAAACAAATTAATCGTTGTTATTTTCATGCAAGCAAACTTGAAAAGTAGCCCCTAAAATGTTTTGAATATTTTTTTCCCTGCGAAGTTGCAAAATAAATACATACTATTTTCAGACGCTCAAAATTGCATTTTCACCAGACCGATACGCTCATTACAAGCTAGCGCAATTTAGCCGCTATATTTCCAAAATAGCAGGCTATTTTGGAAACAAGACCACGATTTCTCTGGATATTTTCTAGACCAAGTAGCTCGCTAATTGCAACTACAGGCTAGTGAAGACGCAAATTAGCTGTCTTATTTGAGATTACGCTAGTTAAAATAGCGGGTTATTTTGCAACTTCGGTCTGATGAGGACACAGCAAATAAAGAAGGTCCCTTGTGCTTCACTAAATGCCAGATATATTTATAGAGATCATCCAGATCAAGCCTAATGTTCTCAATAGCTGCGTTTACACTGCAAAAGATAACATTGATTTTTCTCACTTTCTGGTGTTTCGCCAGCAAACATGAGGAAAAATTGAGGGAAAAAAGTCCACCTGTAGAGTGGGGTAAAATGCCTGCCGAAACCATGGTTCACCAACTTTTGCACTGTAAATGCAAACTTTGGTAAGATACAGATTTTTTGCTCACTTGACTCTCCTTGCTTCTGTGCTAACTTACTAAAACATTGGTATGAGCAAAACTTCCAACGTTTTCTGTGGGGGTTCTAGAAGTGTAAATGGCATTTAAGAAGAAAACCCCAATGATATTTCAAAATGGTATTTGGGCTGTGTAAATGGCCAAATGTCTGTTATTTTTTCCTCCCCTCAAAAGATAAAGTTTGAAACAGAACAGTCTCATGTATGCCCATCATTTATTCCAGGCTTGCCCTTATTGCAAAATGTAAACTGTGACCATTTTGAGGGCAATGAATTAAGTTGAACTTTCACAAATTATTGCAAACATGTTTGTGCAATGACACTTAATGGCTAAAACATGATCAAACTTTACTCATAACATGTTATTATTATTTCATGCACACAAAAAGTACTGCTAAGTTGTGGTTTTATTCCTGTTTCCTCTTTCGTTACGCAGCCATTAATAGAACAGGTGTGAATAGGCCTGTTTCAGAACGCTCGATTGTGGTGGTGCGAATGCTAAGAATGGGTTTACCACTTGCTTACTTTAGATCTTGTGGTTTAGCTTTGGAGACACCATAGTAGACTTGAGTCTTGCCTGAGTGATATTGATGGCTGTGTTCACACATTGCATGTATGATAGTGGTCCTCCTGAATACTGTCTTTCAGGAGATGTACATGTGAAACAAGCACAGAAATATGATTGGAATATTACGTCTGTCTAGTACATGTACATCCAAAACATTGAGGTATATTTACTGGTAATCATAATAAAGCTTGTTATTTAAAGGTCTTGAATAACATTACTGTGATATCGTTCAAAGTTTTTATTTGAAAAAATAATTCCCTGTTATTATAAATCTTACTTGATCATTGATGAAAAGATTCTGGATATAAATAGACTCGACCTGTATTTAAAAAGAAGAGAGTTATCCCTTTCTGTTGGATTCTATAGTGGATATACTGTACTTTGAAGCTTGAAGCTTGAAAATGATCCACATTCTTATCAAGTTTTCATGTTGCAAACCGATAACATTACTGCAGTGCTTTAGACTATGGTGCATTCAATAATGATTTAATATAGCAAGTGTTGTTATGTATTCAGGTTTCGAGAAAGAAAAAAATATTGAATAGAAGTGTTGTCTTGAAGATATTTGATTTCCAATGTGGTGGGGTGGATTTTCCAGTTGGCTTAGCGTAAACCCTGTGGTTGTCTGGAAAGACTGAAAGTCTGATTATTCCCTGTCTGACCCTGTTCTCACTACAATACAAGGGTGGACTGTGGGTCATACTTTTGAAGTTTGAAACTTGTGGTTGTCTGGGAAGACTGAAAGTCTGATTATTCCCTGTCTGACTCTGTTCTCACTACAAGGGTGGACTGTGGGTCATACTTTTGTAGACCCTACTCATTTTGATACTTAATTGTAAAGTCGGGGTAATGGTATGATTGCAGGGACCTCCGAGGCTACCCTTGGTAAACAAAATAGACATTATTATTATTATTAATTTATTATTATTATAATTCCATATACAGTCTATGGAAGATGTAAAAATAAAGTCAGGGTGCTAGTGTGATTTATGATTATCATCTTTAATAGAGATAGAGCTTTGGATGTACATGCACACTAAAAGGTGCTAGATTGCACTAGTGTAGCATCCCTTGGAGGTGCTCTAGATCTCGCCCTGGCAAGCCGTTTGGGCAGACCAAAATAAACGTTGTGTTCTCATCTCAAAGAAAGTGGGACTTAGTACGTGCGCTGGATCGGGCTGGATCTCTTGTAGTGAGAACGGCTTCATGTTTACAAGTGGTCTGCTTGAATGGAAGGAAACACTTGGTGGGTTTGTTTGCATAAAGCACAAAGAGTCATGTCTGTCTTCCAAGAAAGAAACAGAGGATTGTATTCTGAGTCTATTATGTTCTAATTCCTGCGGCGTTTTGGGAAAGATTATCCATTGTGTCTTGCCAGGAAATGGGGTTGTCAAATGGCAGAGTACACATATTATTTTCATAAATGCATACAGGCTACATACATGTACATAGTGGATTGGTTGTATGATACTTCCTAATTTTAATATTTCATTTTTTGAGCTAATGACTATTACCCTGCTAAGCTTATTTGCTACATGTTTGCTAATGACTTTTTAATGTGCATTATTACATGTACATGTATGTCTATATTTGCTTACATGTAATGACCATTAACAGTAATGGGCAAAGGGTGTACTCTGAATTTTTTTATTCCATTTTATTTGCATTAATCAATAATTATGTGTTATTCTTGTTTGTTTTTCTCCATACAGAACAATTACTGGGACACGCCTCTTCACTTTGCTGCTCAGTACGGGCACACGGATGTGGTCTCGCTATTACTAGAGGTAAGAAGATGGGATAAGTGATGAAGAGAAGGTACATGTATATTTGGGGACTTGTGATTTGTAGGAGAGATATTACCATTAATAAAATAAATAATGAAATGTTCATTTGAGCTACTATATAACTGTTTTGGATTAATGTAAAACTATAAAGGATATGAAGGATTATATGTAGGGAAAAGGGTAGAAGACAAAATAGGAACATGTAATATGGAGGGCAGGGGGGGGGGGGGGTGGTGGAATATCTAAGGGGCAGACAAAATGGGAGTAGGGGAAAGCAAAAGAGGAGAAATGAGACAGAAGAAGGGAAAGAGACAGAAGGAGGAGGAATAGATGGAAATGGAGGAGAAGGAAAGTAAAAAGATTAATGAGTTACTGTTCTTTTGGCTCTAAATTGATATACTGTTATACAGTAATGATAATAATGATAGTAGTTCTTGTATATATAGCGCTCATATCTTTCAAACCTGACACTCCTTGGCCCTGGCGCTCCACAACTATTACCCTGGCTCTAGCATGGCTGCCATCATGGCGCTCTAGCAATTCAAGGAATCAATTCCTACCAGGCAGGTACCCATTTACCTCACCTTGGTCCAGTGTGGCAAATGTAAATAAATCTCTTGCCAAAGGATATTAGTAAAAAAAAGTACATGTAAACAGATAATAACATTAGCCTATTTTATTAATGGTGGATTGTTTCACTTCCTCAAGTCTTCATGTAGGCAAACATGTACTGGTATTATAAACCACACATCTGGAACATACATACATACATGTACATGTACAGTACTAATTAAAGGGATCCGGTAACTTTGTCTCAGATTCTTAAGCAAAATCCTGGATTTAGCTCATGCTGCAATGATACATATAAACTTTAGGTCAGTCAGGAACCCCATGACTTTTACAAGCCGATCGCCTGTCTCATTATCAAGATATTTATGATTGGACTTACTAATTTTGAAAACCGTTTACCAAACGGTTTTCATAACCTCTACAGTCTATTGGGGAAAACGAGTTCCGGTATGGTAAAACCGGTCACTCAAAGATTTTTACTTTTTTTTGAGGCACTTCTTGATCATTTTGGAGCGCATTTTTTGTAGGGCTTCAATTTTACACCATATCACAGACACTGGTAACACATAGGGCCGTGCATCTCAGATTTAACATCGTTAAACGATCCCTTTAACACCCAGTTTCATTTTCAGAATGCATACAATGTGGATGCACTTCCTAACATGAAACTAACCAGACACTGAATACCATCTTAATGGTCGTTAGGCTAATTATAATCAAGTAGAGTAATTCAAGTTATCAGGTTAAACACTATGACAGCCCAGCCCTTTATCATTTATGCGGTGTGGCAGTAATGTGGTATGCTTGGCATCTTCCGGGAAGCCTTTACTGGAGTGACCTTTTGATAAACATGGTAGTGTTATTTTGGAGGAGCGCACGCTTTATATAATGCAAGAAGGGCTTAAGAGTAATACATTGACCACAGGGGAAAAAAATACATGGGGGCTCGGGGCGAAGAAGCCCCCAAAATGCCAAAAAGAGCCCCCGAAAGTCATAAAAGAGCCCCCCAAAATTTACATCTAGAGTGCAACGCAAAAATGAATTAAAGAGTGTTATTAGCATGCAAGCAAGCTTGAAAAGTAGCCCCCCAAATTTTTTAAGTATTTTTTTCCCTGATTGACCATAGCAGTCAAAGTCTTTTAAAGGGAGTTACTGGAAAGACCTTTTGACAAACAAGTTGTGTTATTTTGAAGGGGTGCACAATCTAAATAACGTTTGCTGTCTACAAGAAGGGCGTGAATTTATTGCCTTCCTTTAAAATTGGCCAGCTATGCCTGACATCTGAACTTTGTCAAGAATGTGACACTTGGATGATGTAACAGTTTTTAGGGGGAAAGGGAAACAGAGGAAAAAAGGAGAGGAAGGGTAAGGGGAAGGGTAGGAGGAGGATGAGGGGAGGTAGGACGGGGAGGGGGAAGGAGGAGGATGAGGGTAACATAGGACGGGGAGGGGGAAGGAGGATGATGAGGGGAAGGTAGGAGGGGGAAGGAGGAGGATGAGGGTAGGTAGGAGGATGAGGGGAGGTAGGAGGGGGAGAGGGAGGGGGAAGGAGGAGGATGAGGGGAAGGTAGGAGGGGGAAGGAGGAGGATGAGGGTAGGTAGGAGGATGAGGGGAGGTAGGAGGGGGAGAGGGAGGGGGAAGGAGGAGGATGAGGGGAAGGTAGGAGGAGGGAGGGGGAAGGAGGAGGAGGGGAGGGAAAGAGAAGGGAGAGGAGGTGAGGGAGGAGGAAGGGGGTGAATAGGAGAGGGAGGATGGGAAGGAGGAGGAGGAGGAGGGGAAGAAAAGGGGAGACGAGGGGAAGAAAAGGGGAGAGGAGGGGAAGAAAAGGGGAGAGGAGGGGAAGAAAAGGGGAGAGGAGGGGAAGAAAAGGGGAGACGAGGGGAAGAGAAAGGGGAGTCAGAGGGCGGAAAAGGAGATAAGGAGGAGGGGAAAGAGGGACAGAGAGATGAGTGATTGACATCTACAGTCAGTACATGTATATAATGCTGCTAAAGATAATAGGCATACTTTTCGTTGTCTATTACATAAATGTCAATATTTAGGGATTGCATATAATGAAACCATAATTTGAGTAGTCATTTGAGTGGATAATAAACAGGAAATTTGATACAGTATTTGCTAAATGAAGTGGGGAATATAGACACAACTGAGCTCAATAAACAATGCTTGAATACGTTAGAAGAAAAACAGATACTTAAGAATACATTGTGTGAGACATGAAGATGGATAGCAATCTGTTCAACTTGAAAAAAAAAATGTAATTAGTTCTAAAATTGTGATAGACTTTATAGGCCCATTAACCATTTGGAGAGTTTACCCATTTGCCTGAATTCCTCATTCATTGTAGGGAATACCTCCCTTTGTTAATAGCCGCAAATCTCTGTTTACCCCCTTTTCTAAATCCTATTTTTACACAGCCTTATATTAAAGTAACAATCTCACCTTGGATGCTTGTAACACTGGCAATTTGTTTACCCCCTTTTCTAAATCCTATCCTTAAACAGTACAGTGTTACATGTGTAAAGTAAAATATCATCTTGGTTGCTAATACCAGAAACCACAACAAATTAGCTTGTATTGAAGCATTAACTAGTTGTTGTTGAAAGTGGTAATGCGCGTACACGTACTTGTTGGCCTATTTTGTACCTTTTTGCTGCGGTTAACAGTGGTTTTATACTGTTAAATTTAGATAGTTCAGTTCAGTTTATTAATATCATCATTTTGCAGCCTGGGCTGAATTGCATGACAATTTACAATTAAGTCATAATTCAACATTTGATATTGTGCTACACTTTTACATTATTTGAGGCTTTTATGGTAGATAGTATATGTTTTTTCTCATTTTCTTTCCTAATGAAAGAGATTGACATTGCAATTGGTAGGTAACATACCATGTATAATCTCCCAACTTTGGACTGCATGTTAGTTCATAGGCAGTATTTTGTCAGTATTTGTTCCAATAGTGAAACCAAATGATGTACTTTCTTTTAATTGGCTGTCCAGATGAAATGCTATTATTAGGGAAGACACTTTGATTTTCAATTAAATTCCAAGTGCATTTGTTCTGTTCACATTCATTAGTACACATGGACATTATCATGACATTAATGAGCATTTAGTATTGTGGAATGAGTACCAAATTCTTTAATTGGTTTGTCACTTGGCAGATAAACAGTTTGTGTAGGCAGTTTGGCTATAAAGTGGACAGCCTTGAATTGTGTATTGTTGATGCAGACTGTAGTGAATTACAGAGAGATTATAGTGTCAAATCTGTGCATCGAATGACCTCACTGACATGTCGCATTGATTGTGAAATAAAAAATCCATCTGTAAACAAGTGTTGTGATTTCAACAGTCCTCTATAAATTCCATATAGATTTCACTAGTAAATCATATTTTTATGTAATGTTTGCACGTGATAAAGGTATTTGAATTGATATCTGCTTTTGAAATGAAATATACATGTATAACCAACAGTCCCTCTATCAAAGGAGAGTCCCAAATAGACCAGTTTTTCGCTACAATCACAGACTATATTATATTTCACTAATCTATTAAAAAGCAAAAGTATATTGGTATTAGTACAAATTCTGTCACTTTTGGCATATGAGCAGTTTGCGTAGGAAGGCATGTACGTTGAGCCGACAGCCTTGAATTGTGTACTACAGAGTGGATAGTGAATTACAGAGATTAGTGTTGGATCTGTGTATTGATTGACCTCACTAATTGTGGTATTGATTGTGAAATAAACAATCCATCCGTAAACAAGTGTTGTGATTTCAACAGTCCTACGTGTATATAAATACCTCAGAGATACATGCAGTCATGAACGTGTAGTATGAGAAAGTGATTAAGAACTCAATTTCATATTTTGCTCTGACATGGAATGTAAAAGAATCTGAGAAAATCTAGACGATAGGCCTATAAACAATATCACACACACTGTATATTTCAATTTTCTTTTTGTACCTACGGTATGCAGTGCATAAATGTGTGAAATAATCTGAAGAACAACGTGGCAAAAAAATTATAATATATTTAATAATCCATACATTACCTACCCCTCTTTATGTTCAGAATTTCCATAAATAGTAAGCAATTATACTCTGTCAACATTATGAAAATATGAAATGTTTGTTTTACCTGTTAACTATTAAAGTATGTGCATTTGCTTCTTAGTATTATAGCAACCTGGGGATCGATGTAGCGCATCAACTTGATTTTGAACCTGGGACCTCCTGGTCCGGTTACGAGTCCACGGCTCTACCACTGAGCCATTGCTATTGATGAAATGTATCATGTATTCGTTTATAGAAAATTAGTAATATTTTATATGTACACTGGACTGAAATGTTCTGCATTTTAATTCTTTAACAAATGTTATTTTCTTTTCCCCCCTCTCTTTTGTGTGTCCATAGCATGGAGCTGACCCCACATTATGCAATCGTAAAGAGGAGGGTCCCCTGGACCTCGCTGCCCAGTACGGGCGCCAGGACACTGTCCAGTTACTGGTCAGACTCCGGCCGGACCTACTGGCCAAGATCCCTGACTCCCGGTCACTTCTTCACCTTGCTGCCAAGAACGGTCATCATCGCATCGTCAAGCTTTTACTGGAAGCTGGCTGTGATATATACAAGACGGTAATAGTTATAATAATAATAATAATAATATAAATATAAATATAAATGATAATAATAATATTGAAAACAAATTGAATAATAAAGATAATAATCATAATATTGATTATGATGATGATAATGAAAATGGCAACAACAACATTAATATAGCATTTAATACATGCTTGATGCTTCTGTTTTGTACCATTATTACCCTGGCATGAGCCAAGCTACCCTATTAAGGCGCTCTGGCTTTTGAGAAATTCTTCCTACCGGAACCCATTTACATCACCTGGGTGGAGTGTGGCAAATGTACATGTAGATCAGTGTCTCGCCAAAGGACATTAGTGCCGCAGCGGGACTCGAATCGCAAACCATGTGATCCAGAGTCCGGTGATGTATCTACCAGACCACGACATCTCTACGAGGTTAAACCTCTTTCATGCAATTGGTCCTGTGAATACGAGCCATTAAGCCTCTCCTCTCAGTGATCTATCCCTTTAATTAGGACCTATCATGTTCAGTCCTAAGCAGGAAGCGCAGTGAGCAAAGGAAGCCCCGCTCCGAGGACGTGCCGCATGTCTTGCCGCGGGACACGCTACGTCCTCTAGGACTCTATTCCCAAATATAGAGAGGAATCAGAGTGTTATGTTGCTTTGCTGTTCAGTGGGAGGCCATGTAGTGACACTTCGAGTCTTTAAAGATAAAGACCAGTTATGGTCATGCGATTGCATTGTGAAAGAAACGTGGAATCGATCAGAAAAGGTTGATCATCTAGCATATAAGTATTGGTTTGTACTGCAAGGTTCTGGAATCATCAAAATGATAAGAAATTTGGCCCAGTCTTTGTGAAGTTACAAGCACTGTACACAGCAAGATGTACATGGAACTACATGTATGCACAAGTGCGCGACACGTGCGTTTATCTCTCACACACCAATAGATAAACTAATTTACCAAATATATCAATTAGTAGGTGGTTTCCCGGCAAAATTTGTATCATCATGTATTAGTCAAAACATATTCTTTCACATGATTGGTAATAAGAGCTTCCATTTCATTTTTTGAAATTGGGGCGTTTCCAATACCTTTAAGGTTGACCCATAGTCTTCTGAAGGTCTAAATGAATGAGCCTTTCCTACTCACATTGGCAACATTTCCCCCATTCTTTTACAGTTAAAAACAAGTAGACAAATTTAGCCAGGAGGGATTAGACCTCCCTGCATGGTCACTAACAGGTGGTTATCTCATCAAATCAGTTCTTAATTAACATAAGAATAAGGGGACCATGGGGGACCAATGGTCACCACTTAGGCATTGTTTGCTGTATAGAGGGTGCAAGTAGCTATAAGTAATGCAGTGGGGCTTCAAATATAGAATATGAATACAAATTACTTAAACTAATAATTAAAGAAATTGCTAGTATGAACGTGAAAATGGTGATTACAAATTCAACTCTGCGTTGCACATTTAGAGACCATACTGATTTAATAGTTACACCACTCTGATTTTAAGAACAGCACAATGTACTGCTTTGGAAGTAGACTTGCAATTTTCTGTGATCTGTTCTCTTTCTGCGCATATATAATTCCTAGCATTTTGGATCAAAAGAAGGTCACAAAAGGTCGCTAAAAGAAGACTGTACTGAGTATAAGCTGATAAGAGACACTTACAAGGCGTCATTAAGGTTAAATTCAGCTCCCTTCAATCTGCGTTATTAACAACTGTCGTAGCCTTCAGTGTTGGGATTATGTGGGGGGCATTTCGATGTCTTTGACAAATCCCTTGCGATGAACACATGTGTCTGCTGTTGTTTCTCCACAAAAGAAAAAAACTGAGAACAGAATTTACTCTGCAAAGTCAGGAGTACAGCAATGCTGTCTAGAAATTGCATTCAGTGTGTATACTTTATGTTGTAATAATATGACAGCAAAAGAGTGAGTTCAATGTGTTCCATGTAAAAGTTTAAGGATTGTAATACATATATGTTTTATGACTCATAACCGTGGGACTATTTTCCTTTTGTTTAAATGCAATTCCTGTAAAACCAAAAAAAAGGTTTACTTTGCAACATGTTACTTTAGCAACTGTAAATGACACTGTTGAGTCACTAGTGATGCAACTATTTTGTGGGATCGTGGCATGAAGTTTTCACGAAATCGAATACCAGCCAAAAGCTTGTTCCTGTACTTAATGGGTTAGTTAATAGACAGAAAACTAATTTTTTAATTTACATATACAGTCAAACCTGCTTTAGTTTAGTGACCACCTGTCTACAAAGACTACATTTGTTGTTTCCCTTGAAAATGGTATCTCATTGAAACATGTACTATAAAAGGAACCTGTACATAAAGACCACCTGCCTATGAAGACCATTTTTCTTGTCTCCCTTGGGTGGGCTTATAGACAGGTTTAACTGTATTTACAATACTTTCCTTTGATTCTATTATTATTCTGCTCTTCCGTTATAACCCAGAACTAAAAGACTCCCTTTAAAGGGATCCAGTAACTTTGTCTTAGATCCTTTAAATCCTTTAGATCATTAAAAAAAAAATCCTTGATTTTGCTCACGCTGCAATGATAATTATACACCTTTAGGTCAGTCAGGAACCCCATGACTTTTACAAGCCGAACGCCTGTTTGATTATCAAGATATTCATGATTGAAAATCGAAATCAAATTTTGCGTTTGCCAAGCGGTTTTCATAACACTACAGTCTACTGGGGAAAACAAGGATGGTAAAACTGGTCACTCAAAGGTTTTTACTTTTTTGAGGCACTTCTTGATCATTTTGAAGCGCAATTTTTTAGGGCTTCAATAAAACACCATATCACAGACACTGATAACACGTAGGGCCGTGCATATGTCGTAGTCGAGTGGTTTAAGGCGCTTGACTGTAGACACGAAGGTCGAGGGTTCGAATCCTGACATGGCACTAATATCCTTTGGCAAGATATTTACCTGCACTTGCTACTCTCCACCCAGGTGTTAAATGGGTACCCGGTAGGATGCGAACGTTCATGTGGTTCGGACGAGCAAGTGTGCACTTGTAAAATGGCGACTGGCTGGAATGCTCCCCAGGGAGTGGAAAATGTGCACACATTGTGTGCGGGTATTATAAAGCCTGAATCCGATGACCGGGGTAATAATATATCTGTTAAGCGCTTAGGCACATCGTTGGATCGGTGTATCGAGCGCTATATAAAAAAAACAGATTATTATTATTATTATCTCAGATTTAACATTGTTAAACGATCCCTTTAAATCAGCGGTTACTTCCTGAATCACTTGAATGGTTTCTGTTGAGATCAGTAGATTGATGAGAACAGACCCAAACACACTTCAGCTTACTCACCAACATATAAACCACACAAAAGGAAATGCAACTTCCTGCCTTAGTTATATGAAGCTCTAGAAATTGAGCTATTTATTCGCCAACCAGGAAAATAACAAGTTAATGTTTTCCTCAGTTTGGCTCTGTTTTTAGATAATATGAGTATGACTCTATTACTGAGTAGAGAGGGAGAGAGGATAATATAACCTGGTGACGTAGGAAAAACAACATATTTCACATGAAAGTTTGCAGTGCGGTTTATAAACTAAAACTCATGATGCACAAAGTGTGACTATAAACAGCTTGTATCTGCAAAACAGTAGCCATAGACAAATATGGTATAAAAGTACAGAGAAATAGGGAACTACTTAATTAGTCAAACTAACAGATGTGGAGATGGAAGAGTGAGTGAGTTTGTGAGAGAATGGTAGATTAACTATAGATAGATTAGATAGTTTGATTGAAAGTTGTATGCAGATATTTAAGCATACATATTTATAGATAATGACAAAGATATATAGATAGAAAGAAGAGAGAGAGAGAGAGAGAGAGAGAGAGAGATGGATAGATAGATAAAACAAGAGTCAACAGTAGTTAGAAAGATGCAGGCTGATAGATAGATTCATGTAGAAAGAGAGAAGACAGAGAATGGTTGATAGAAAGAGAAAAAGGGAGAGAGAGAGATAAAGAGAGAGAGAGAGAGAGAGAGAGAGAGAGAAGGAGAGATATAGAGATAGAGAGAACCCAAATAATCATAGAAATGAAGAGATAGACCAACAAAAACAGAGATATTATGGTTACAAATACCAAAAGAGGGAAACCACTCATGTATGAGAAGATGATGTTGACTTTAACCATAGACGTTAACTCTGCAGGACAGGAAAGGAATGGTGAATCATAATCCGATGATTTGGCATCTTTTCTTCCGTATAATGTTCTTCTCTCTTCCTACTGCACTCAACCCATGGACATGAATCACATGAAAGGAATATAAAACTATTTCAATGTTCTCATCTCTTTCCTCATTACCACCCACGCAAGCTAAGATTCAGTTTCATTTATATATCTGCTCAAGCATTTACATTGAATTTAAAACCTTTGTCTTTATTTATAAGTACTTAATTAAAGGGAGAGTCCACCCTAACATTAATCTGATTTTGAATGAAGTCAGACCAGGTACATAACTTTCCTCCCAGACTGTGCAGGTCATTACCACCCATGCTGGCTATGATTCAGTTTCATTTATATATCTGCTTAAGCATTTACATTGAATTCAAAATCTTTGTCTTTATGTAAAAGTATATTTATTAAAGGGAGAGTCCATCCTAGCATTAATTTTATTCAGGTACAAAACTCTCCTCCCAGACTGTGCAGGTCAGCACATGCGCAGATACCTTAACTGGGGTAGACATTTCTTCCGGCTTACAAAGAGAATGTACAGCAGTGTCAACTAATTCCTTATTAAAAAATATTAAACTATTGTTCAAGTTTCATGAACTGCCCCAATGATTTCATAAGATCTATATAGGTACCAGCATAATCTGTGACTAATAATTACTTTATTCCGAAACAATGATTTCTTTCAGTCTTTCCAGTTGTCGAACCGGAAGTGCCTTTGCCAAATATACCCATGGCAGGTGCTGCCCTGCTTGGCCAAATATGGTAGTTGCGGTAGCAAGAATTGTATGTTTTGTTGAAGCATTTTAAAATGTGTTATACACTCCTTAATACATATACGTAACCTCAATTAAATCATTTCTATTATCAATTATAAAAAAGGTATACTAGCACTTTGATATTCATACTAACATCACTTTTTATTTAATGTTTTCAGACTAAAACAGGGACTGCGCTGCACGAGGCAGCAGTATTTGGGAAGATTGATGTCGTGAGGGTGCTCCTAGAAGCAAGACCGGCCATCGACGTGGAGATCGAGGATGGTCACAGCGAAACGGCTCTTCAGAAGATCGAATCTCATTCGTCGAAAGTCTCTCAAGAAATCTCAAAAATGATCATGGGTAAATCAATGTTTTAATAATTTTTCTCTTAAAATTAAGGCTGCGACGAGTACTCGCACTGTTGACACCTACTCGAGGGCGATTTCTCGTACTTGAATACATGGCCGCAATTCCCCCCCCCCCCCGACTTTTTTCTTCTCCACTTTGCACTGTGCCGGCCGGCCGAAGCTCACCCGTGCCCGAAAAGCACCGGCAGGGTACAGTGAGTAAAAAATTTCCCAGCTCAATCATACACGGGGTGTCACTGTCAACTCACCACTTAGAAACTAGGACCAAACTAGCTGCCAATGTCCAGATTTCTGTTTGAACTTGGAGGATAATTTGTCTGTCATCTTTAGTTATAAAAACAACTTTATTACTCTTTTTTTGTGAGAATTTCACAAGCACAAATGGGAGCCTTCGATTGCAACTCTCAGTAAAATAGTGTGGGTTTTCGTAGCCGGACTATGGGGTGCTTCCTACAACGTCGGCAAAAAAATTAAAAAAATAAATACAAAAATTTAATTAAAAAAAAAAAAAAATTATAAAAAATGGCCGCCGAGTATTCAAGTATTCCCCTGCACGCCCGGGAGTGTACTCGACTACCTCATTACACAATTATGCACAGCCTTACTTCAAATTCAACCTTGTTGTGAGACAAAACTTACCTTGAAAGCAGGCGAGACCGTTCTGTAAATATAAGCTTTTCAGAATACTGCCTAATGACAACAAAGAACATGATACCAAATATATTACGAGGGGATAAAACCAATATGTACAGTGTACAGTATGTACATGTACCCAGCTGCAATTTCATTCAAGCCTTACTCTGTGCTTTACATGAGTAAGAGTGAATGCAAATAGTACACTTAATTGAGCATATTTTTTCAGTTTGATTTTTTTTCTTCAGAATTTGTGCTTATATACGCAGTAGGCCTACGTATTCACGTAATGTACGTGAAACCCAAACTGAAGCGTGAGGAGAAATTTAGTCTGTTATTTTCGCGAATGCTAGCACGCTGACCAAGGCAGTTTGTCCAAAAGAAGAATAGGTGGTGTCAATCAGTCTGTCCCATACTACAGCTCCTTTAAGAAAGACACAAAAAACATCAACTTTACAAGGGGGATGGCTAATTTAGATTTCTGTATGACCTATTGCCTTTCTGATGCCTAACAGATGGTATGTTCTTGCTAAGTATACTAGGCTGCGTTTGCAATCAACCATCTGCGCTTAATTGAGTTAGTGGGAAAGTGGCATTTGTTGCATGCCAACATGAACCTTTCAAGAGTTATTCCTTCTGCTGATGTCAGTGCAAGGCACATGCCACATCTTACTAGGCCTGTTTTCATCAGCTTACCAGGCCTGCCCTCATCAGCTCCAGATAAACCGCTATTTAAACTATCCCGCAGTTAAATTAGCGGGATATTTGGTTGAGGTAATCATCCCAAGATATCTTGGGCTATTTGGCAAAAAATCCCGCTATTTGTCCGGTGCGCCTTTACCAGCCCAAAGACTCGCACTATGCGCAAACGCTAAGCAAGATATCTCGTGCTAATTTCTCGAGCTCAAGTTTCAAATTTTAAGGTCAGATTCCGAGCTGATGAAGATGTGATTTGTAACTTCTGGATTATTTCCCAAATCAGAAATAGCGAACTATTTGGCAATCTCGAGCTGATGAGGACACGCCTAATGTGAGGGCACAACATACTTGTATTATGACTAAAATACTCTCATCTGCTTCTTCAATCAAGCATCTGTCCATGCACAAGACATATACTGAAGTTTGAATTCACCATGGTGAGATATTCTACGGCTGGAGCAAGAAGAACATTAACTCGTACCATTTAATTTTATGTTAGTTGGTTTGTTTTACCTGACTGCTAAGAAAGCATGTGTATGCTTGTAAGTAAGCAACCAGGGGACCGACGGCTTTAAGTTCTCTCCGAGGGACTTGGTAATGAGGATTAATGCCTTACCCAAGGGCACAGACTCATTGACTTGGTTTTGAACCAGGGACCTTCCGGTTACGAGATCTCCGCTCTACCACTGAGCCACCGGGTCTCACTAATGTCATGAGTTAAAGCCCGGCCCTTCTGACTCTTGTGGCGTGATGCTATAGATAGCTAGCAGACATGGTGTAACATGTAATCCTGCTGGGCAGCTGTTCCTACTGTCTTCTCTCTCAAGTCTCAGTGACCTCATTCACACTGCAAAGTAATAACAATTTGATAGAATAAAACGTCTGCGCACAATCGAGTTAGTGTGAATACATCATGTTGAGATACATGCACATGTATATAACTTGCTGACATACACGTAGAGTAACATCTACACTACCGAGAAGGAATGATTTTTTAAAAAGAACGCTCCAGTGTAATGCCTCGTTTGTCTTCGCACTTGTAGTTGTAGTGTAGATTTTGCAGCAGCAATGAGATAAATATGTTCTTTTATATAAACTTCACTTTATATATGTATGAACTTCTCCGTGAAAAACACATTTTAAAGGCCCACTGCACTACTTGTAGCTACTTGCGCCCTCTATATAACAAACAATGCCTAATCGGTAACCATTGGTCCCCCATGATCCTCTTTTTCTTATGTTAACTGAGAGCTGAGTTGATGAGATAACCACCTGTCCAGTGACCTTGCAGGGCAGTCTTATCCCTCCTATAAACTACGGCAGATAAGCTTTAATATTTGATTCACAATAATTTATTTCTGTTTTTACAGTAACTATAAAGAGTAGTCACTCGTGTACCAAAGTACTGACCTACTCATTTCAATTATTTATATCACTCTCTTTCAAAAAACATCAAAAATATATACATGTTTGTTCATTATCAACATAAGATAAAAGGAAGTGGGGAATCATGAAAGCCCAAAATGGCTCGATCAGAATGATCCCCCAAATAAATACTTAGCATAAACAAGATATAAACTTATTTGATATAAAAAAAACATAGTACATACATTCACAACAACAGAGGACAGAGGAAAGATAAAGATAACATAAGGTGAAGACAGTTAGAGGAAGATAAGAAAAGAGAGAAGATATGAAGAAGGAAGTTACAACAAGAGAATGCTGTTTCTTTCCCTAATCAGTGTGTATGGATTAGACAAAGACTCGAGCAAAGAGTAAAGAAGACATTTTGAAACCAGCTTTTGTTGACATAGTGTGAAAAGAACCTCTGTAGATAGGCTGGTGTATTTAGAGTGGTGTTGAAGAACATTCTTACTTGGCGAGTATGAACAGGGTCTCATGTCTCTTCTCTTTTTGTGTGCTTTGGCTGGAGTAGACAAGGCAAGGAAAGAGAACGGTTTGGTTCCGTGACTCAGCTGCCTTGGTGGTTGTTTGGCCGCCTTTCATCTAGAGTTCATGAATGTTCAAATGTGCATGCTCATTTCAAGCCTTAATTACACAGTGCACACACAATAAACACTTTGCATGCATAGACTTATGTAAAATCATCAATTCGACGCCCGGCTGGCAGAAGGGCGTTAGCGCGCAAGCAACTCGAAATCTACTTTTCAAATTATTCACACATAAAGATTTGTTTTATATTTAAACTGCTTTCTATACCGAAAATGAAAAGATTAATAGAAATGTTATAGTAGAACACGGCCACTATTTTTTTTGGAATAAGTCAGTTTTAAAAAAGTTTGAGGCGATTTAGTGCTAACGCCCTTCTTCTTCATTTTTTACCTGAAATTTTCGAGCCCGGCGACAAATTACTAAGAAAAATGATATTGCTCAAACTTTCACTATTTGTTCATCAGGGTGGACTTCCTTTAAATGTAGTGCATTGTAGACTGTAAGAGGTTTTCATTGACACAGTAATGAACCTCCTTCCTAAATGTTATCTAGTCGTGTATGTATGTAGGTCATTTAACCTATTAACATCATGCACCCCTTAGTGACCCTTTCCTGTTATCCCAATCTCGCTGGCCGGGACTCGTTTTCAGGGTATCGTGTCACTCGAGAGGGCTGTTTTCATCAGACCGAAATTGCAAAAAAACCCTGCTATTTTCAGACTCTGGATATTTTCCTGAAGCTTGAAATTGCGTCTTTACCAGATCAATATGCTCATCACAAACTAGCCTGCTATTTCCCAAACAGTGGGCTATTTTGGAAACAAGACCCCAATTTCTCAGTATATTTTCTCGACCTGATCAATTAGCTGGCTAATTTGAGATCGGGCTAGTTAAAATAACGGGTTATTTTGCAACTTCGGTCTGATGAGGACAGGCCTAAGGTTCTGTGTAATTTGGGCAAGGTTGATGCACCGGCGTAAACAACTTGTAAGGTGTTGATGAAGAGTCTATGGTCAGCAATGCATTGAAACCCCTTGACTGGTTGTGAGAGGATTCAGTATCATGACAGCCCTTAAAGACATCGTTTAACAATGTTAGATCTGGGATGCACAGCCCTACATGTTATCAGTGTCCTACAAAATCCTACGCTTTCAAAATGATCAAGAAGTGCCTCAAAAAAGTAAAAATCTTTGAGTGACCGGTTTTACCATACTCGTTTTCCCGTATAGACTATAGTGTTATGAAAACCGTTTGATTTTGATTTTCAATCATAAATATCTTGATAATCAGACAGGCGATCGGCTTGTAAAAGTCATGGGGTTCCTGACTGACCTAAAGGTTTATAATTATCATTGCAGCATGAGCTAAATCCAGGATTTTGTTTCAGAATCTGAGACAAAGTTACCGGATCCCTTTGAGATGATGATGGTCACATTTGTATTAAAGGCGCTTAATACTTGGTTTCTAAGCGCTTTACATTGTAATTAGTATTAACCTGGTTGTTAGATTCAAAATGATAATAGTGCCTTTATATAAAGCATGACAGTCATGGCGCCAGTCAATTGATTCAATTAATTTCCATTTATGTTCATTTATTTTTTTATATTTGGACAGGGCCCCTCCTTTCTTACATGTTCTTCAAATCTATTTTGTGTATGTTTTCATTATGTAGTTATTATGTTTTTAATGGAAAAATAAAATTGAATTGAAGTTTGATTCAATTGATAATAATTCTTATCTTGGTTCTTGATTATCCACAGCTCACATACGAGGGGAGCCCTTACCCAAGCCCACAGAATCCCCCTCCACCACACCACTCACCGACGGATCAGACACCGATCAAAACAGCGCCCTCGCCTACAGCTACGTATCCAACCCTTCCGTCCGTCCAAACCACGGTCCCGTCGCTCCAGGTTTCGAGGTCATCGACCACGACCACTCCAACATCTACGACAACGTCCCAGAGGACCGGTCAGCGCTGTACGCCCGGCACTACCAAACGCACGCCGAGCTGCGGAATGAGCTGCGGAGCTCGTCGCCGGAGGGCGTGTTGAGGCGAGGCGTGTCCAAACGAGGCACGTCCAAACTCAGTCGGGCATCGCCGCCGGACCAGGATCTGTACATGAACGTTGAGAAGCTCAACCAGCAGGTGGCGCGACTAATGCCTCCCAAGAAGCCTCAGAGGAACTCAATAGGGATCTTGTTGGACCAGGCTGTCAATGGGAACAGTCCTCAGATGGAGAGGAAACAGGACCAGCCAGTATCCTCTAGTCCCATGCACTTAGATGTGAGGGGGCCACATCCTAGGCAGTCTAACACATTATCAAGCCAAGGTGAGAACCTAGAGAGGAATGCCTACACCGGCTTAATAATCAATATCAATTCAATTCAATTCAAATCTATTCAATTCAGTTCAATTCAATTCAATTCTATTCTGTTCGGTTCAATTCAATTCAATTCTATTCTGTTCAGTTCAGTTCAATTCAATTCAATTCAATTCTATTCTGTTCAGTTCAGTTCAATTGAATTCTTTTCTGTTCAGTTCAGTTCAATTCAGTTCAGTTCAATTTATTTCATTTCATGTCAATTCAATTCAACTCAACTCAACTTATCTTAATTACATCTTCCTCAGATTCTGACTGTCCTCCGCCGTTACCGGACAGGAACTACTATGACCTTGAGCAAGCGGGAGAATACACACAACTCAGAATGGATGCCTTACCACCCAAGCAACAACCGCAACCCCAGCAACAAGCACCACACCACACACATGACCATCCACACCCGCCACAGCATCCACCACCCAAGCAACAGATGATGAGAGATCAGGATTACAGTACTGTGTCACCTCTTCAAGATTATGTAAGACATGGTGCTGTTTAAATATCAAGCTGAGTTCTGGGGGGGGGGGGCGTTTCACAAAGCCTTTGAAGTTGTCATATCAATTCAATTCAATTCAATTTAATTCAAACCAACTCAAATCTATTCAATTCAGTTTAATTTGATTACATTCAATTCATTTCAATTCATTTCAGTTCAATTCAATTTAATTCAATTCAATTCAATTCAGTTCAGTTCAATTCAATTCCAATCATTTCAATTCAATTCAATTCAATTCATTTCATTTCAATTCAACTCAACTCAACTCAATTCAACTCAATTCAATTTTATCCTCTTCAGGATTGCAGTACTGTATCACCTCTTCAAGATTATGTAAGACATGGTGCTGTTTAAAGCCACACTGTGCTACTTGTAGCTACTTGCTCCCTCTACATAGAAAACAATGCCTAATCGGTGACCATTGGTCCCCCATGATCCTCTTTTTCTTATGGTAATTGAGAGCTGAGTTGATGAGATAACCACCTGTCCAGTGACCTTGCAGAGTGGTCTAATCCCTCCTATAAACTAGTACAGATAAGCTTTAAATATCAAGTTGAGTTCTGAGGGGCGTTTCACAAAACTTGTCATCAGTGACAAATGACAGTTTTTGTTATAAGCTACTGAAATACTTGCTTCTGATTGGTTATCAGCAGATTTGTCACTGCTTTTTGTCATTTGTCATTGAAAAAAGCTTTGTGAAACAGGCCCCTGGTCATGCGATTGCATTGTGAAAGAAACATTGTGGAATCGATCAGAAAAGGTTGATCATCTAGCATATAAGAATTTGTGTGTACTGCAAGGTTCTGGAATGATCAAAATGATAAGAAATGTGGCCCAGTCTTGGTAAAATTACAAGCACTGTACACAGAAAGATGTATATGGACCACACAAACACGTGGCATAAAAATCTGTCCTGATTTTTATGATGTTACATGCCATATTTAGAATATTAAGGCATTTGAAGAGCCATGCTTTTCAGGGAACATTTTTTATCTGATGTTCTTCCACCCTTGCATAATAAAATGATAACGCTCACAAATTATTGTTCACCTCTTCCCAGAACTCAACCTTCTCTTTAAATGATATTTGTGCTTGAGATGACTCAAGAGTGAAACTAAACCCTTGATCTTCAAGATTATGTAGGCCACAATGTGGTTAAAACCATATTGCTGCTTAAAGGTATTAGGTAACTTTGCCTCCAATTCTAAACAAAATCCTGGATTTAGCTCATGCTGCATTCATGATTATAAACCTTAAAGGTAAAGACCAGTTATGGTCATGCGATTGCATTGTGAAAGAAACGTTGTGGAATCGATCATAAAAGGTTGATCATCTAGCATCTAGCATCTGCAAGGTTCTGGAATCATCAAAATGATAAAAAATTTGGCCCATTCTTCTTAAAGTTACAAGCACTATACACAGAAAGATGTATATGGGACTACCCTATATCTCTCACAAACCATGAGAGAAACAAATTTACCAAATATATGAATTAGTAGGCGGTTTCCCGGCAAATTTTTTATCATCATGTATTAGTCAAAACATATTCTTTCACATGATTGGTAATGAGAGCTTCCATTTCATTTTTTGAAATTGGGGCGTTTCCAATACTGGTCTTTACCTTTAAGGTCAGAAATGCATCCCATGAATTTTACAAGCCAATCGATGTTCGATTATCAATATATTTATGATTGGAATTCGAAATTTCCCAATGGTTTTTAATAGTTTTTTATAACACTACAGTCTATTGTGGAAAATGAGTATGGTAAAACCGGTCACTCAAAGATTTGACTGTTTTGAAGCACTTCATGATCAATTTCTTTAGGGCTTCAATATAACACCTACAAAAACAAGCTATGCTTTCCAGTAGGTTCCTGTTTCATTTCATAATTTTGAACTTACTTTGTCAACTATGTTCTTTATTTTGCAAACAATTGAGTTATGAAATGGAATAAATTTGAATCAACCAATCAATCAATCCTATACAGGACATCATGAACGAGGGTGTGAGTAACACGTCAACAGAAGCGAGTGACGACACCCATGGTAGTCTGTACGAGACCCTGTCCAACGCTAAGAGTGGGGCAGCCACGCCCGACGTGCCCTACCCGCCCTATGAGATAGGATCCAAGCCGCCCCACCCCCAAGTACAACTACACATACATGAAGCAGATGACAATGTAAGCATATAATGATGTCCGTACACAAACAAATGATGAAGAACTTGTGTTTATTTGGTTGTTGTTGTCTGTTCTTTTAGTGACGTAAGCCTAAAATGCGCTTCATATTTCCATATCTTTCAGCACACAGATGAGTGAGGACTTATAGGAGTGTTTTTTCCCTCTAACATAACCAGATACACAAAAATAAATCCTGCCCTGGCTAAATCATTCAGAGGTATCGTAGTTGAGTGCTTGTAGTAGACCACATAGCAATAAACCATGGAGAGTACCAACTTCATGTTTGATTAATTACTACTGGTTCTTACAGTCTGTTTGTTTGTTATCCTACCCAGAATGATCTGAACAGCACCGGCGATGGCGACGACCAACTCGACGATGATGAGGAGGAGGATATGGATGCCTATGAGTTCTTGTCTAATGCTGTTACGGGGAACGGTCGACCCAAACCCAAACCTAGGATTACTCCAACCAGCTCTTCCTCGTCCTCTGTGCCTTCCAACGATAGTGGTAATAATCTCTCCTTTTATACATAATGGAGGATGCCAAGATGAGGATGTACAAACATTAAAGTGGGGGTATTCCATTACAGCGGAGGGATGTTTAGGAAATGATTTACAGATGATTAGTATACAAATAATACACAGCAGTAAGGGCATTAGTAAGAACTACCCACACAAGGTACATGTACCTTTGGAACAGTCTAACACGCCTGAGGTGATAGCCGAGGTTGTCTGGACTGTTTAGAAGGTACCGAGTGTGGGTAAATTTACTTGTTTTATTATTTGTTTTGTAAAATGATGTTTTATTTGTTTGATTAAAATTATGTATTATAGCAAGATTTTACTAATGACCGGTCATCAGTAAATTAAGTGTTAAGCAAAATAAATGCTTGGTCACATGAACGCTCTTTCTACCAATCATTTGATTAGGATCTGCTTCATCATCTAATGATATCTAATATTGTTAATAATGAAAAAAGCCTTCATTGACAAAATAAGTACAATTTTTCATGCCAAAAAACTTTACGGTGTTAGTTGTTGCAAACATGAACAGGGTTTTTTCATTTGAAAAACAGGATTGTCGAATGGGGCTGTAAATCTACATTTATTATTCTTTCTCGTCTTGTTTTCATTCCAGCCTTACTTTCACACAGCAAACCTAAACCTCTCCCGCGGCGTAACAAGCCCGTCCCTGCCAAACGTTCCCCTGGGTCCATCAGCTCCCAGCCTAGTACCCCTTCAGAGGAGCTGACCTCCTCCTCTGACCAGTGGGGAGGTGCCTCCTCTGACCGGCCTAACACCCCTGACCAGCCCCCTCCGTCACCTAACACCGCTATGATGGGTATCAGAGCCAAACTGGGAGCATCAGAGGTAAGCTCATCTCATCTTTTATATTTAAGGACCCCATCAAAGCCCCACTGCACTACGTATAGCTACTTGTGCCCTTTATATAGCAAACGATGCCTAAGCGGTGACCGTTGGTCACTCATGGTCCCCTTTTTCTTATGTTAATTGAGAGCTGATGTGATGAGATGAACACCTGTCAGTGACCATGCAGGGAGGTCTAATCCTGTCCAAACTAGTGCAGAGGGGCTTTAAAGATGAATTAGAGATAGACATTTTCCTGTAAAGAGTTGCGTTTGATTTAGATTGAGCGCATTTCTTCTTATTGATGACAAATGTAGTCAAGTGGTTTAAACATTTGATTGGACATACGAAGGTCATTGATTCAAACCCCAGATTCAAAATGGTTGTCTGGTAGGAATTTAGCAGTAGCAGTAGCAGTAGCAGTAGCAGTAGCAGTAGTAGTAGCAGTGGTAGTGGTAGTGCCAGTGGCAGCAGCAGTAGTAGTAGTAGTAGAAGTAGTAGTAGTAGTAATAGTAGTAGTAGTAGCAGTAGTAGTAGCAGTAGTAGTAGTAGTAGTAGCAGTAGTAGTAGCAGTAGTAGTAGCAGGAGCAGTAGCAGTAGCAGTAGCAGTAGAAGTATATGTAGTTTAACATTACTGGTTTTAGTGTGTAGATGTTCTTATGGTGTGTTTTTTGTTTGGTGTAGTTTCAACAAGAGAGAAGTTTAGAATTGATGGTGAATTTTCCTTGCATCCAACTTCTATGTTTGTGTGTGTGCGCATACATGTGTGTGTGCGTTGAGGTGTGCTTCTGGTAAACATTGTGGATATTTATAACGTACAATTCCTGTTCTTGGCATGATACATAGATCATATTTGTACCCCCACATATAATTCGTGGTGGAGCAATGCGTGATTGTACATAACCCAGTCTGTTTGTCACGTGCATGTGACACAGATACACCAAGAGTTACATGAATACGAAGTGCTACGGAGAAGTGGAAAAGCATTTAGAACTTGGGGACTATTTCCTTTTGCTCTGGTTTGCAAGTATGCTTGTATGTTTCTTCTGATGATAACTGAATCGGTCTTGAAGGTATGCAAACTTGTCAGTGCTGTATTTGTGCGGGTTCGGTGGCGCAAGCACTAGTTTTGCGTTAACCAACAAGATGACACTGTACTTAGTGCCCTCTGACATTGATACTGAGAAATTGGTCTCAAACACATCACAAAATTTAACAAAATCACAGTAATGATTAAGGGAAACAAACCCCCAAAACACACAATACAGCTTGAAGTGTATAGTAAATGTAGAGTAACCTTTCTCCTTCTTTAAATTCTGCTCAAGACACTTTAAATCTGCTTTACAAAGATTAAGAGAATGTAAGTTGTATTGCATGTATTGATGTGTAAACGTAACAAATTTGCCGGTATCATTTAGAGGTGTTGTGATCTAGTGGATAGGTCATCTGACTGCAGATCACAATGTACGGGGTTCAAATTCCAGCCCGGCACTAACGTCCTTTGGCAAGACGTTATTTCACATTTGCCATTCTCCATCTAGGTGTTAATGGGTACCTGAACTACCTGGGAGGATGTGAAAGTTAACGTAGTTTGCTTAGCATTATGAGCGTCTGTAAACTGGCACCTGGTTGGAGTGCTCCCCAGGGGATGGAGAATGTGCATACATTGTGTGCGGTCAAGCCTGAATCCGATGATGGGGATAATGATATATCTGTAAAGCAATTAAAGACATCGTTGATGTATTAAGCGCTATATTAAAGCAAAGTATTATCATTACACACATATATGCCTATGGCATTGTTACAGGTACATGTATATTGAGAAATGCAAAAGCCACTTGCACAGTTAAGAGCATGTCTGTTAAAGGGCAAAGGCTATGATTTATGCATACATATCTACATACATGCAGATATTCATTCAGATGCTTATCACTTTTGGCACAAAATTGATAACACCAAGCTGCATTAACTTGCAAATGTTTGCAAAAGAATTCATCAAAATGCTTTTGATTGACTTTAAATGCTGTATAAACATATAAATAAGTTTGTTATTAGTACATTGGTATTCATGCAATATTCCACATGGACCTGAAGTGGTAAGAGAGAGAGAGAGAGAGAGAGAGGGGGGGGGGGGTAAAGCAAGCAACAATTAGCGTATTACAAGATGTTAGAGTGAGAGACAAAGAGAAAAAAGGCTGATAGTACAGAAAATTTAAGTTTTGAACAAAAGAGATGAAGAGGCAGATAATCAACCAAAAAGAAAGAGAAAAGAATGAGAAAGCTATATTTTAATTACTTTTTTCCTCTATATTTTCACTAAATCAAGTCATTACCGGTAGTTAAACAAGTTGTGGTAATTACTTGATTAATGCACATTTGTTGATGTGTAGCTACATTTATTAGTAATAATGATTACCTTTATGTCAATAGTGAATGTTTAATTAAGTTGATTAGTAATGCTAAATTATTCGCATTCATGCACAAACTTTAATTTACATGTGCACTGTACAAGTACTCATAGGAGATATTAAACAACAAATAAGTCGTTGAATATTGATTTGTTTACTTTTAACCGCATATCAACATTAATATAATATGAAAGTACTGCTGCCTATTGCCATTATAGTGTACCGAAGTGCTAACTTTGCACTCAATCATTGTGCAGGTTACTGGTTCCAAATAATAGAGCCTGCACATGAGGTTCACCATGAATTCATTCAAGCACCGGGCTGTAGCAGAGCAAGTTCAGTGTTTGGTGCTTCTCTGAGTACCACACCATTAATTTGGCACAAAATTGTTTGGAACCAGCAACCTTGACGACTTGGCCAGTATGATATCACATTTTGGTACGCTATAGTTAGTATTCATGCCTACTGCACTGCAGGGAGGGGCACACTAATTCTAACACTGCAAGGTTCGGGTAAAGGGAAACCCACCCTGGTATCAATGTTGGTTTTGAAAAGGGCAGAAATTGAAAGAAATGGATCAGTGAAAGTTTTAAAAAATCTGATAATGGATAGGAAAGTTGTGAAGTTTTAAATTTGCAGTCAATCAAACACAAAGTATCTGATATTGTCTTTTGTGAGCAGTTCTTCATTTGTTTTGCAATAAAAACTGGTCTTGTAAAATATATTTAGCATACCTGCACCCTCATTGTGTATTTAGACTCATACTCTAGAATACCCCGCCCAAAGAGAAAGATCTGTTTTTAACCAACAACGAAGAAGAGGAATGTTTTTTTCTTCGTAATTCCCAGTACAGTATAAATGGAGAGCTGCTGGCGATGAATATTGGAGAGCTTTCAGATTAGGTTTTATTTATTTCAAGTTCAGAAGTTTGTAATCTTTTGTATAATTTATCAGATTTTACTCCAACTTTCATTGATCTGTTCCTTTCATTTCCCTTCCTTTATCAAAAACTATTTGATATTGAGTTGGAATTCCCCTTTGCAAGTAGTTGGTACTGTAATACCCTACACGCTGGCACCTAACCCCTCTTACATGCTCGTTTGTCTGTATCTCTTTGTTCTCCCATGTCTGTCTGTCTGTCTGTCTGTCTCACCCGTTCACCTCCTCTGTGACGTCTGCAACCCTTCCTCTATCTGTCGCCCTCTCCTGTCCGTTAATCACTCCCTGGTGCCTGTGTTACCATGGCAACAGCCCAGCTCCGATGCTCCGACGGAAGGGAGTGGGGATAGTTAAAGTAAGATCTGATCTTTTTTTGCTTCATCTTTCACTACTTGCTTCCTGCAAACTTCATCTAACCTCTCACTCTGCACTTCGCTTCCATGCTGGCACATTGTACAGGATCTCAGATGCTACTGTTCTTCCACCTCTTGTGGATATCATTTCTTTTCAGTATTATGCTACAGGGAAAAAAATACACGGGGCTTGGTGCGAAATAGCCCCCGAAATGCCGAAAAGAGCCCACAAATTTTGCATAGAGTTCAATGCAAAACAAATTAGAGAGTGTTATTTTCATGCAAGCAAGCTTGAAAATAGCCTCCAAAATTGTTAAAGTAATTTTTTCCCTGTTATGCTATGGGGTTGTTTGGCACATGCTCGGATTGCTGTCAGGTAACAATTGCTCCTCTGTATTTACTAAACTCCTCTTAACTCTTACATTCTTAACTTCAACCCAAGACCCAAACTACACACAATCCCAACTCTAACCCTAGCCCTACCCTTGACCTTACCTAACCTAAAATCCAGTTGCAACCGGCAACCTAACCCTATGGTTTGGATGAGATAATGCAAGGAGTAATTGTTACCTGAGCATGTCATCATGCCATCGATGTCCAATATATGATTGTTAAACTTATGTCGTGCTTATTATTGAAGCATATAAAAGGGCCCAGTACTATCATGTAATATTGTTAAGCCCTGATTATGTTCTCCATTGAGTTGTCATCAATTCCAACATAAAAACAAATGCTCTTGCAAAAAAGATTAAATGGTGTACAGTGCTTTAAAAAAGTGTGCCCAACTTTGGTAGCTTCTGATTAAAAAGTTGAGTGACCTTGAATCATATATTTTGTTAAGAAGAACTAATACACTGTCTAATGATACCGTTTTGATAATTGTGCGGCTAAGGATGACTGAACAACAGGCCTTTCTAAAACTTGGGTGCTCGGTCACCAGTGGCAGCAATATTATATATGAATAGGGTATCTTTGGACAGAAAATAAGTTAATCTTCATCATGAAATCAATTCTAAAGTCATATTAGAAGCTACCAAAGTTGTGTACACTTTTCTTTTTATACGCACTTAATAATGAAAGTCTGAAGGCTTCACAACTGTATATCTCAAGAAACATAGGACGTGCCTAAAAGCCATTTATTTTGCAAATCTACACTTCTGACGGATACACTCTTTCTTGCTGTATTTGACTTTTAGGACATGCATCAGACAGTTTTAGTAAAATCTGTCACACTTATATTATTGGGAATCTGGGAATTCAGTTTCTTGCAAAAAAAGACTTCATCTTTCAGAATATAAAGAAT